AAGGTCTGTCAGCCCAGAGTGTTTTGTGAAAAAGACGAAACGCTATTCTATCTGCCCAATAATAAAAGCCACCAGAATGGCTGGCTGGTCTTCTTACCAACTAAGATTGCTAATCTCACTTCTTGCTCATCTAGTTATTTTAATGGTGGCTTTCATTGATAGTTTACAGTGTTCTTTCATTTCATAACAATTTTTTTTGTACCTAGTAACCCCATTAATGCTTTAAAAATATGTGACCATGAAATATGACAGGGTAATATTTTATGCAGTTGTTCAGTTTTTTTAAATCTTATTCAAATATGTGTTAGGACTTATTTAGGTTCAACAATCATAAAATGTAACGAACTTCTGCAAAATATTCTTAGTTTAATGAAACTGCATGCACACATTATGCAAATCAGGATATCACATTAGCATAAATGTTGAGATTTCAGTTTGATTCATAAAATAAATATCATATTGGTTCATTCCATTCTCTACAAAAATATATTTTATATTTGTAAAGCAATTAGTTTATAAATTATGATTTTATGAAAAAGTAGGGCTCCGTCTTCTTGGCAGTTCAAAAAGGCTAAAAACTATGGTTAATGAAATTTATGAATGAATTGAAATGATTTTCGAAGTGTCTACACGTCCGACGCGTCAGACAAATAGTGCGCGAAATATGCGTCCGGCGGCATGTCACGTGACCGCTGGACGGCTAGTAGTTGTTATTATTCCGAACGAAGAGTAAATTGGTAGATCTTGTGTGGTCTTGTGGTAGAGTGGTCGCTTGACGTTATTTTGATTTTAGGATCAATACTGGATATAGAATAATTTATTTTTTCCCATTTTAATTAAAAAATTTTTATACTATATTTATATTATCATGTTCATCAGCAACAGTAGTTTCATGAGAAGTTTTTAAATATTTTGTAGCAATTTAAACAATTTAAAATGAAATCTTTTACTTTTATTGGTTGCCTACTCCACACTGGCCCCTAATTTATTTTATGGATTACTGGTACACAAACTCAAATAACAAACTAAACAAAAATGTTTACAAGCCACTTTCACTTAAGTTTTTTTCGATTATTTGCATTCATGATACTCAGTACATTACTTGGTAGCGAAATAGATTTTAAAATTAACAATAGTTTTGAATCATTCGCAGTCACGTGAAAAGGCTGACCGACAAGATATCTCTCGCCACTTTGTTACGGCGGTCATGTGGCATGGTTGACGGACAAATAGTGCGGGAGATGTACATCCGGCGCGCCGGACATGTATAAAATGTAGACACTGCCAATGATTTTATTCCAGCTCAGAATTGCTGAGAATCAAATATTTAATAATCATGGTAATAAGGGTGAGAGACTGCAATCAGGTTAGAAAAATGGAAATGAGCGAAATAAAGTAGCCCTATGGCATGGGTTTGGAGTACATATGGTAAAACCTAAAAAAAGGCCAGAAGAATGCAACAAAACAAGGAACTGTTTGCAAGAAGCCTTTACTTTATCAGCGAACAAACAACATATTTAATTTTAATTATGTTTCATTTTTCAGGTTTTCCCAAACTTTGTTTCACTCATTTTCATATCATATTTCATAATGAAAAAAATGTCATTATCCCACAAAGGCGTCTACCGTCCAAGGCTTTGGTTGGGGTCTGGGCCAAGCACTAAGCTAGGTACTTGGATATGAGGCTATTTTGACGTAATCGCGGCCCATAGGGTTTTGAGACGCTTTTTTTGGTGTGCTGGATGATAGGGTTCACTAAAAAATTATTTTTTCGCGCTAGAAACGTCGGATCAACGAACGAATTACTGTTCTAGTTACGTTAATGAACGGGCTTTAACGACATCCATTTTGAGTATGTCGTAAATAAAAAAAAATGTGAGAAAGCAGCTAAGTCTAATTTATCAATATTTTGAAAACTATTCGTTGTCCCATTTTAAATCGACCTGGTGTACCTGTGAAATTGTATAAAATATCACCATGTAAAATTTCAAGTCTCTAAGATGGCCATAACAATGTTATTTTTGGCCAGAACGGGTCTAAAAATTCAAAAAAAAAAAAAAA